AGGCTTATGGTTGAGCTTGTGCTGGCTTATTGACGATGCTGCCATGGAAAGCGCGTACCGCATTTCCAGGAGACGAGTAAATCGCCGGAGAATCGCAGTCGCCACCCCGGAAAATGCCGCAGCGAAATGAGGTAGGATGACGTCATAGCGTCATTAGTGCCTCGTCCTTAGCCGAAAACACGTGCCCCGTCGACCAGTTAATGTATCGTCGGCCATTCGACGAAAACGCAAACATGGTGGTCGTAAACCTGTAGGGGATAGGGGATACGTAGTGGCGAATTGTTAACACGTCAATCGACGATCAGCGTTAAACGAAATGTCCGACGGCTGCTGTTCGCAAGACGCGTTATATTTCAAAGTGGTGAGTGCCGCATTTTCCCGGAAAATGCATACCTCTGCATCACTCATTACATTTGCATATTAACGAACTACACAAGATCAAGGGATCAGACCAACACCATCCATCGGCACCTGAACAATGCACGGAATAAAAGTACAAAAATATAAATTGGTGCCTCGACAGAGAACACTTCACCTGCTTAAACATGATACGGTACAAAGTGATTCTTCGCCCCTACCGATATGGACCAAAACTGATTTGCTGTTCAGTCCAAAGCGGTCACGGTTCTCTGTGACCGCTTAATAATGGTCAGCGTGTACGTGTAGCGCATGAATCAATAGTAAGCCATCAATCGGTCAACTTGGAGGTACCAGTTATGCAACCGAGTCTTTCGCATTTCAAAATTCTCGTCCTGGTTAAGATCTCCGCTAAATAGTTTCCGCTGCATAACAAAAACTTTAAAATCCTGCTGATAGTGACTTCTGATGTACAGAATGAATGATAAGTTACATTACATCTGTTGACTGTACCAAATACGCCATTTATCTCAAATAACTTTATAAACTTATTTATTCAAAGACGATTGGTCTTCTGATTCCATGATTGGTAACACGATAAAGAAAGAAATTTATTTACAAGAATTACAACTTTTCGACCGAACCAACATCGTTCATCATCAGGGAATAACCACAAAATAATAACTGCTGGGTTAGTTGGTGTTTGACCCTAACCTGGTTGCCAAATAAGCCATGAATCATACTTCACGCCGCAGAACTATCAACAGAGCAAATGCAACCGTTGCAAGTTCTATTTTTTGCCGGAAGCGACTCCTTGATTAACAGCTACACCTCGTTCTGTTGTCGGGACCACCACCTTTACATCCCTTTTGTTAAAATTATGACCATTCTTCAAGACATGAGAAACTAAACCATAAAATCAACATTATGGTACCTCATGTACTCCGTTAACGGTCAACAGGTCTTGCCGATATAAATCCACTCACAGCTGTTGTAAGCTATCTGATAGACTATCCATTTACTCTCTGAATTTAAGTGAGGATCAAGTTTCTTATGCAAGAGGTTTCCTAAAATTTTGCACCTGCAGAAAAATATATTATGACTCTATGCTTTTAAATACCGCCTAATTTCCTCGGATATGTACGGTATCGAAAAGACGAAACTACAATCAAAAAAAAACTGTGGGACCAATGTTTAACCGTTTAAATAGAGAAACACTTAAATATCTGGCATATCCGCTTTTACCAAAAGTAGATGAAATATTGCTGATTTCACCCTTGAACAATCGGTTATCACTGCAATAACTTAAAGCCTTATCACATGCATTTCTTAACGCGGATGAAGATAAATTTAAGAGCATAGGATGAAGTGGCAAGATAACGATTAGCAAGCTGTGGTGTTCTGTTTACTGTGAACGAGAACGCACAAAATCCAAACAACGCTATAAAATTCACTTCAGAACAGGAACATAACACCAGGTAACGTTTCTTGACATTCTCATTACACGAGACGCCATTGGTACATTCTCCCCGTACATTAATTAATTTAATTTTTTGCTGCTTGTATTAAAACAGAAAAATTCTTAGTTTCAACGTAAATGAAATAAATGTAAAATAAAATGAAACGAGTGCATAGCGAGATCAAGAAAGCATGCATCTAGGTTTCGGAATGAAGCTGCCAGAGCCAGAATTTGGATCTTCAATGCACAAGTCGGTGGTATCCCATTACTCTTCCAGGTTATTTCGCATGAAAAAAAATTTTGGTTCTTTCCGCAACTACTACGTGTAACGGTGGAGGTAAAAAGTAGTTGTTTTGCTGAATCAGCAAATCAACTAATTTTCCGACTTTTCTACTCAATGCTTTTAGTTCAGGAAAATACAACTCTTTAAATGGTCACAGTTAATAGTTTACTGCATGTCTATAATAAATATAATATATGGATGTATGCATGTTTGCCTATAATAAATATGCGTGCTTGAAGCATTGAATTTCCGACAGAAGCTAGAACCCTTAGCCCGTTATCCCTGCAGTTCCTTCCTGCTACAAATTCAAGCACTCGTAAATATGACTAATAAGTAGAATAACATCTGGGGTAGAGATTGTTCAAACGTATACTGATGAAAGTCATGAAACCTCACTCCTCCAATCATTGGATTTCGCTGCTAATTCACAGCGCCTTTGACCCTGGATGCCAAGAACATTTATACAAGCCGTTAGGCGATGTCCTCGCCGGCAACTTATAACCGATTTGATTGCGTGATAAGCGAACTGAAAAGTGTGCACTAATCGCTTGTTGGACATAAATTCTTCCATCAAGAGGACAACAGCACCTGACGATGTTGCGGTCTGTGCAGTGAAACGCGTTGGCATTAAAATAGTCACCATCTGTACCTGGTGTCCCGAACCATGAATCACTCAAACAACCATGCAGATGAAAATTTACTTCCTTTCGTCTACTCTCTGAACATCTGACATCACATAGTCAAATATGACCTCAATGCTTAATTTTTCTCAACGCAACTCCACACATCAAGTACATTTGGAGCGCAAGGTAATTATGAGCATGACGCAGAGACATTTAGTAGTGAAACCTGGTCTAGGAGGAATTATGCTTTATTTCACATACTCTAGTGTGCGAAAATGCCTTTACTTAAAGGTGGTAGCATATAAGGAGTACCAGCGCCTGAAACACTGTTCTGTAATCAGCACGAGACGGTTCTAGCAAATAGATTCTAGCGAAATGCATCTGGCACTGCAAGTACTAAATATTATGGAACCGCGGTCTGCCTACATATCCACTTTCCCAAGGCAACCAGTAGCACGAAGACAATACGTACTAAAATCTGGTGTTAGATGAACTGTCCGTTATACATGACAAGTCTGTTATTCACAAACAGACGTTTCCACTAACGCCGCTTGACCTATGGTTCAAGGTAGAATGGCAAGGACAGTTTCACGCCGGTGATTTACAGCGAGATGGCTTCCTTAAAGTTCGTACTGTTGTTGGGCATGTCATAACACGGGACACGGCGAGAGGTTAATTGGCAAGCTACAGAATAACTCTGCTGGACACCATCACCAGCAAAACACAGTTTTCCAAATCCACCCTGGCACTTTTATACGGAACTGATTTTAGATTTTTCAACGGGTCAATCAACGCCAGATGTAAATCATTTTTCTGACACCCCGACCATCATTTCCACCGGAACTAGCACCAGATGCAAGGAACCTGTAGCCAGCCAGCCGTCCCGTCACCGCGTGCGGTGAGTAAATCTTCCTGCTTGATTATTCCGCACCACTAACACCGTAGGTATTACACATAATGCAGGTATACGCGCTCAACAGAGGTCAGGTAGAAGACTTACAATGTAACTTGAAGTTCATAAGCTATCACTAACAGTAGGTTTACGGATGCTGTACGTTTACAAATCTTGAACCTTGTCATGCAGCAAATCAAATCAGAAAAGATATTCTTACCAAACAATTCTTGACTTTAACCTTCGTAACGAATGCTACACAATATTTCGCGATTCTTCCTTTCAATCTGCTCGACTGTACGATATCTCGAACCATTCATACTTTCTTTTCATATAAACCACACTTATGCAAATGAACTTTTATCGATTTACCATTATCTTATCTGTGCGATGCATGCTGGTCATCCGAAACCCAAAGTATTAACTCGTTGTCCTCATTTTTATCGCACTAATACCTATTTCTCCTGCTTGAATCGCTGTCCAGCATAAAAATAACAACAACGTATAAATCGCTTCTTGAAGATACATGTGGATTATGGATATCATGTTCGGGTCGCTATTTTCACTCGCGAATCAATCATCCATCATCAAGCATAATCTATCATCATCAGTCATATGTAATGCGCGTTTAGGCCGCTGGGATACCAACCGAGACTGTTGGCAATGATCTTGTTAAATTCATACCACATCGACAAACCTACTCGAACCATGTGATTGTCAGGTGCCGGTGCCGCCGGTAAAACCACGGTTATATTCCATCACGAGCATTTCCAACCCATGCGAAAGCGCAATAGAGAATAACTTTCGTCTGTCACCTCAACATACGACTATTCACATTGCTTTTGCAAAAGAACTATCACTATCAGTGATAATAACAAATCGACGGTATTTGCATTTTCGACAGTTGTTGTAGGAATAACAAGGATACGATGACGAATGAACGAATAAGACCACGAAACAAGTCTACGATGTCAAAAGGTTTAAACGGCAATAGGCAGAGCAGGTTGCAAGAACAGGTCTTCAATCGATCAAAGGGACATTATATTGGACTAGAAGAAAGGGTAAATAGCAAGTAGGAAAGACCTCCAGATCAATGGCAGGAAGACCAGAAGTCCGTTGGGTCAACGTGGACATGAATCACACCAGAGATAAATTTGTAGCAGTGTTGGAAAGTCAATCCAACAATGCATACAAAAAGTATAATGATCATCAGGACCGCTGCTTGTGAATGGCGTGCTTATTTATTGTAGCCTTGACCATTCCAATTTTCCTTGCCATGCCTTGCACAGGTTGTCACTTTATGGTATCGAATACCAGAAGTCCCGTTTAAGTCACAGCTATATTTAATGCCGCAAGATGTTTGGCCTGTCGTTGTATATTCGTAGAAACGACAACAAAAAGCTGCTGTTTGAGATAGGGGGTGGGGATTCAGAAGCAGATAAGCTTTTCCGCAAACTTTGGAAAGATACAAATCATATGATTTCCAATAATACATATCTTCATCTTCTATCGCCGTTTCTTCTTTCGGGTCGCGGAGGCAGACACCTCAGAC